TTCCTTCAGGAAAAAGCTGAGTACAAAGTACATGCTAATACGTGGTAATATCCTTCAAATTAGATCACATGTAGATATTCACAAATAGGTCCAAACAGGGGAAATCACATGACAGATGAAGCTCTATCACAGGACATTAATGTTGACAACGCGTCCAACGTCAAACAAAAATTTTACAACATCCCGATTAACAAAGTCAGCTACCATTTTGCTGAGAGCCTCATTTATTCGTTGATACTTCTTCCTTTTCTTCAGAGGTGGTAATCCCATCTATTACTGCCCATTTTTTACTGCATGCAAATGTTGCTCTTTCTGTAGCTTCTGAGCAAGGCGCGCAGTTGAATGATGGGCGATCCCAACAGAGTGATTGAATGCTTGGTGCCACCCCTCCAATGTGGTTGCTTCTTGGGAGGTCATCGAGAACAAGGTGATATTGGTTCCATAATGGAATGGGAAATCGGGGTGCAGCTCTTCGTCCTCTCCAAACTCCTCTGATGTAATTATCTTCGAAATAATCCAAAAGAGGTTCCAAATCGCGAAAGTCATCGCTGCCTACTAATTCTTCGTAGGCCGCAGCTATTTGGTCAGGTGGAACAAATGACCTTTTTAGCTTAGGGGCATCTCAGCGGGGGAGTAGGAGTCTCATTCATCAAGCATTTTTAAAACAGGAGGATTAGGGGTGAGGAGGACTTGTAAGGGGGGGCGGATAAAGAGGAAAATTAATATTTTTCCTCAGGTTGCTTCCCTCCTCCTCATCATGAAATGTCAAGATGTATATCAACACTTCAAAGAAAACATTCAAATTCCTGTTCCAAATTACTCACTGAAAGTAAGAGGCGTGGGAATGTATAGGCTTCCTGAAATGGTTTCAATGACCTATTATCTATAGATGGTTATCATTTTAGCTGTATGTTCGTTGACAAGGTTCTTTTAAAATGCTAGTGGATCACTCTTGAGTCAATTTCTTGACGTGTACGCGCGATTCCAACATGATCGCCTGCACTATCACGCATATTTAATTACGCAAGCCGAATATTTTGTCGAGCGATAATGACTCGTTCACATTTGTCAAAAAAAATTTTCCGCGACATTTTGTCCTAGCACCCACTAGCTCAGTCTCTACGCCCATCGATGTCTGTCGTTGCAACATCACGAATAGCCCTGCACTTCCATGATGTGACTTAGGTCATCCTCTCAGTTTGGAAAAATCGGCGTCTTTTTTTTCTTTATTAGTTATAGTATACACACACAAAAGACAAAATCTACAATGCATCACGTTCCCGACTTCTTTCCTTTTCAGGAGAGTACCAGCAAGAAAACCACTTGCATGAATGGAATTTCGGCGATGACAAGAACCACCGATTCCGATTGTTGGATGGCGACATGAACTACTTGATCGTTGGAGACGTGTAAGTTCTTCCTTCCATTATTTTGCGATATCAAGAGAGTGTTAGAGTCATTCGTTAGAATGAAAGATTCATTGAATGACCGCCTCATCTTCACTGTTGCCGAACGTAGACTCTTCAATTGTTCTTTTGTGACTAACTTAAAAGAAAATTAAATCTTTCACGAGATCCGCAGCACAATATGCGCCTTTGCACTATTCCCGAACCATTTCCTGTGCTTGGATCACATACACATTTTGATTGCTTAATCCAAGGGCTCATTTGACCATGCTCACTCTACCTAATGATTTCTTTCTTGTAATTTTCTTTGCTCTGCATCTCTCATCGACACTTTTGAGGCAAAATTATGTTTAACTTCACCATTTCACTCCTCCAAGCAGATCTTTATTTGGTCTGACAACTTTCCCATCTTTCTCTCGCTTCTCTTTGGACATCTTTGATCAGGTCATTTTCTTCCTTCTAGAGGTGTTTTTAGCGTACTGATGGCTCCAATTGCCATTCAACCACAACTACAAACATTAGCCATTTTTTCATTAAAAAAAATGCTATACTGAGCTATGAATGACCATGTCTCACCATGACCTCGGTCTATAGTTGAGAAAAGAATGATGTATGGTTTTTGCTTTAAATAGGGAAATAGTGAACTACTGCAGGAATGTTTTGATAATATGCTTTATAAGGAATAACAAACTAAGATAATATCATAGCATGGCCAGATGGTCCATCTGTGAAACGCCACTAGAACATCAATGAAACAGTCGTTTAATGCCGTTCACATTCGTTTATACGTTGATCTCCAAGAGCATTCATGCATTGAGAAACCATTTCATGTCTTGGCTATCATTTGGAATAAGTCACAAACATTGCCTAAATTCCAGCCGAATCGCCTGGAAGTTTAGGCCCAAATGCACATACCACATTTAGGTGAGATAAAGGAGCTTTTTTTTTTTAGCAAAGAAGCACATTTTTCACCCATAGAGTCCATGTACTCTTAAAAGACCGTTAATTAAAGGAGGTTTCAGTTTTCGGGCCATAAGGTGGATTGCATAAAACTGACTAGCATAATGGAACTTTAAACTTCCATTACCACAGGTGAAGGAGGTTTAAACCTTCTTTAGCACCGTTAAAGGAGGTTTAAAGCTCTATTACGCTAATGTCAGTTTTATGCAATCCACCCTTAGTCTCTAGCTCTTGGTTGTGGGTGTGAACACCCAGTACACCAGTGACGGTGATGATAGGGCACTTGTGCTCTTTTTCACACAGGGATCAAGTGGTGATACTGACGCTGGATGAACCAGAAAGGCATCATATAGACTTGGAATGGAAAGCGGGTGAGGAAGCCATTCGAGAGTGCAAGATGAAGGGGCAGAAAGAGGTAAGGGTTTCTTCTTCCCGGCTCCTATTTACCGTCAACTGATGAATTGCACAAAATCTGTCTGGGTAGCCATGTTTACATTTGAAGAATCCCTCAATTTCTTCATGGAAAATGGGCATACCCTCCATTAATTCGCATGAGTCAAGTTGCAGGACTCAATAAAACGAGTAGACAAGGGGTGTACAGTATAGTGGTCTATCTCCACTTCGCAGAGCCCAAATAACAAACCCTGCTTCATCATGCCTCCTCCCCCCACCTTCCTACCTTCCTCGTCATTTTCATTTATTATGAACTCGCAACTCCCTCGTCGAGAAACTATCAATTGAGCAAAGGCAGAGCATTAATAATTTCAGATCGATCTACCTTGCCCTTTATTCAGTTGTTTGCACATTTGGCAAAGCTTTGAAAATGCCTCTTCGCCGATGGCAAAGGGAGAAAGTCTTGTAACCGACGCCATATGACTAACCTTGATACTTGATCCTCGAAATGCAGGACTTGTGCAGAAATTACGTCAGGACTTTTGCTATCCGAGACAAGGGAAATCCGAACACGACTATGGTGATCTGCAGAACACAAGCGTTCCAGCCAGAATGCAGAGATATGGGTGGACCCAAGCATCTGACCCCCTGGGTGAGTGCGGCAATCGCATTTCCTACGTTTTTCACTTAAACAAAGAATGCACGCATGAAAGAAAAGCTTTCAAAGCATTTAGACCTTGGAGTCGTTCGACGTCATAATAACGATATTGAAATTTTGCATCGAGAAAATTCAATTCGTGCAGAAGGGTCACTGGAATAACGTCATTGCCAAAATAATAATAAATAAAGCTTTAAGATGAAACAATTCCTTTTCAAAACATTCAAGCGTTTACCACTCCATAATCGAACTATTACGCCAATAATTTAAAAAGAAAACTTACGCCCCAGTAGTTGACGAGGGAAATCATGAAAGCTAACGGACAAGTTGAGCTTGGTTCACAACGAAAAAATCCATGAGGTCTATGACTCTGGTTAAATTAGCAATCCGCCAAAGGATCACAAAGTTCGTCACGACCACACGAAAATAATGAGATTATAAGAGGACGGTCACCGAAAAAGAAGCTAATGAAAAAATGAAGTTACAGGAAAGCAACAGAGAATGAGTGATGTAGTTCTTCACAATAGGAAAACACCTACCAGATTTTAGTCCAATTGCAAATGAGTTTGAAATAAACGTGATTCTGACAAAACAAGTCAAAATTCAGATTTTTTCGACCTCTTTTTACTTCTTTTTTACTTTTTACTTTCACTTCCTCCGTTCGTTCCCTTAGCAATGGATCAGTAAGCCACAGGAGGCGAGGGGATCGTGTCCTTTCCATCCAGAACATAATACCACCGCATATTTCGCTCAAGGTAAATAAATTTGGTTCCCGAATCTTCTTACTTCCTACCTATGTGCTGTCGAAATCAAAGATGAAGCTGTCTTCCAGACAAAAGGCTCTATGTGGGGACAGTCCTCGATTTTGGGGGACTCAATCCAGTGATATACCGAAAACCTCGAGAGGGAGACGAAAACGATTACCCTCTGAGAACTGAACAGTACAACCTCAAACAGTTCGACGGTAAATTCTTGTCTTATCTTATACATTAGTTCGACTGGTGAGGCTTCACTAAGCATTGAGATGGACCCTTACTTTGTAGACCCGCAATTTTTGAACTCGATGGAAGATGATCACTACGTGTATTTCTTCTTCCGTGAAAGAGCTTGTGAAGTCTCTCACAGCGCTAAGGTAAAGAAGCTTGAAACTGCAATATTTCCACTTCTTCAATCAACGCAACATAATATATTTCTTAAAACCCATTTAAACAGGATGTGGTACGCTCACGAGTCGGTCGGGTCCTGAAGAAAGACAAGGGAGGACCCAGGAGTTATTCGCAGAGATGGACCTCATTCTCGAATGCTACCCTGGATTATGACATTCCAGGGGATTCTCCCTTCCAATTCACTGAAATACATGAGTACAGAGCCACACATCAGGTCCCTGATAATTCTGAGTCAAGTGTAACGTTTCAAGACGACACTTTCCCTCCCTGATAGAATCCACGACGAGGAAGATTCGGAGCCAAAATGGTCACGACATGGTCTATGCAGTATTTACCACTAACAGAAACAGCTTTGCCGCTTCGGCAATTTGTGCCTATTCTTTCCACGAAATCAGGAAGGTGTTCGATGGACCCTTCATGGGTAAATTCAGTCCAATGTCAGAATGGATGAAAGTTCCCAAATACGAGGTGGGTTCTACTTCCAATCGCCTGTAGTCGTAACGATCCCATTGTGTTTGCGGAGCGAATAAAAGAATATATCCTTGCATTACCAGGTGCCGAATCCCTGACCTGGAAGCAAAGAGGTTAATGACACCACACTGTTAACCGAGTACGCTAGCTGTTTCTTCAAGCTGTATCCATTCATGTACGACCATGTTCGGCCACTTCATCAACAGCCAATTTTCGTCATTTCTCAAGACCAGAATAAGTGAGCATTGGGTTCGCCAGTTCATGAAGTTCCAGTTTAAATTCATGAAGGAGGCCTTTTATCATGGAGATTTGAATTCATTCCTATTTCCAGTGCTCGATTGAACCGAATCATTGTCGATGAGAGGATTACAGGAGTGAGAGCACTCACGATGTCATCTTCGCTGGAACAGGTAAAATAACCAATCGAGACAAGAATTCAAGTTCCACGCTCCTTCTCTTTGGCATTTGTGCTGAACGTTAAAGCCCTGTCGTGATTGCAGATGATGGAAGAGTGCTGAAAATAATCTATAATGAAGATGAGGATGCAGAGAAAGTGAATTCAGTCGTAATAGAGGACTTGGAAGTACTGGGTAACGCAAAAAGGGTGGTAAATATGTATCGCTATCGAGAGGAGAGGAAACCTGCAAAGATCATTGTCATCGGAGACGAACTGATCAAGGCCTTGTCTGTTCATCGCTGCAATCTCGTCAAGTCCTGTAGGTGAGTCCTCGCATCATCGTGGTTTTCACGTTCTCACATCCACCGACATCTTCGTGGTTCCAAACACTCTCTTGGTTCTTCATCTCTGTTCGCATTGCAGTGACTGTGTGAAGCTTCAAGACCCTTACTGCGCATGGGACACGATGGACAAGGGTCATTGCACCGAAGTGGCCAATGGAAGTAATGAAATCAAGCCCTTCCGCTACGTCCAAGATATCCGCTCTGGGAATAGCTCACAGTGCCCACGGTTAGTTTCGCATTCGAAGGATACTGGCGAAAGCAAAGGTACGATGCATAATGACTTCTCTGGTGAGTGGATTCCACGATTCACGCTTTTTATCTTGGAGAATGCATTCATATAGGTTATTTCTGGTCCGGCAGAGGACACCCAGGAAGCAGGGCAACCCCAACGTAATGCGACCATCAGAGAGTTTCTCTTTTCCTACTCCGGACTCGGCTTAACCTTTCTTTTTTTATTACAAATATGATGTTGTCATCATTCCCACTCTTTGGAGCACTTCTGCTGGCAAATCTGGTTACTGTTGGCGCATTTTGACACGTTTATAACAGAACTCAATGAAACTTCTGGCGTCAAAAGCCCTACAAAGGGACGCAATATAATAAGTTAATAGAACGGCATGAGCTTCCACCTTGAAGTTACATTAATTTCAAGGCATATGAGTGAAGACTGCATGGAGGCATCCACATCAAGTAGATGAACTTATTTGTTACTTGCAATGGAAATCTGTTTGTCCTCTCCCTCGGAGTCAGATGGATCAGCAACATCACAGATAAATGGTGAGCGGGTTCATTTCAAATCCGATTACTCTATGAGTAGGCCAATTTTGCATTCGCTTGACTTCTGTTTATAATTGTACACGTGAAAAAAAAAAAATTATTTTCTGTTTTAGAACCGCTCGCTGCTGGTGCGACGGCAGCAACTGGAAGGCGTCTGGATGAAAATGGGGAGATTTTGATAATGGCTGTTTGCTCCGTCGTCTGTCTCATGGCGGGGTTCCTCGTCGGGTCCCTAGTCACTAGAAAATGGAAACCTGCACGAGGGAAATTCCCCGTGCTGAAAAATTCAGTTTTCTCCTGTAATCACTGCAGTAACTAATGGGTGAATGTTTCAAAGTGATAGTTTTATCATAATTCAAATGCTTCTCCCTTTTTTTGATTGAAATCGTTTTCATAGCCTTTCTAACAAAACAGTATTTTTTTGCTGCATTACACTGTGTCTGCTTCCTAGATCTTCATGAGACCATATGAGGTGGTTAGCCATGTTTGAATTGCCTCTTTCAGGCTATCTTTGTATTGTTCCCTCGGAGGCGAGAAGGACTTAAAGGAAATGACGTAATTAAAACGCAAGAGGAAAAAAAAAAAACAACTTTTTCTTGCGAAGTGCTTGAAGAATGAAAATTGTGTAATGTGTCGTCCGATTAACTTATTCCATTGAAATAACAGATTGTTCTCAATTGTATTCAGTTTCACGAAATTATAGATCCCTCGCACGGGGGAAACGACGACAATGGCTCTACAACATTCACTGCATGACTTGGATTTACCATTAACTCCTACATGAACAGACATACCTTCAAATTTCTATTTACTATTTGGTTTTCTGCTTCTATTATGTGACAGGTATCATTGATGCTTTTTTGATGGCATGAAGCCTTTTAAGGTATGTTTCAAAAGTGAGCAGAAAGCCATATGAGCAAGCACAATCCATCAGTGGTTCTCATTTTATCTGAGAGGTTCCATCTATAGAGAGCACTTCATTTAATTAAATCAAATTAAGCTCTGAATCCTGATCAATACAATTGATTTTTCGATCAAACTTTTTAATATTAAACTTGAATCGAGAATAACTTGAATGCTGTGACGTTAGAACGCTGGAGCATAGCCTCTTGGCCTCGAAAGGTAATGGATGGAACGCATGGATCCCTCCCCTCCCTCCCCAACACCCAACGTTTACTAGTATTCATACTACAGGGTGGTCCAAAAGTCTCCATACATAGGGAAAATTAACACTTTTAAAAAAAGTGTAACTTTAACATAACGCATAACACCAGATGTATTAACGCGAGTTCACCATGAATAGGAGAGTCGCATCCTTATGTGTTTTCAAAGTAATGGCAACCATGTAGAGCATATTTTGTGAATAAAGTTACATTTTTTAAAAAAAGTGTTAATTTTCCCTATGTATGGAGACTTTTGGATCACCCTATATTACTACAACATTCACTCGACCCAACACTCAATTAGCATTCATCGCGATTCTCTTGAATATTATTTTTGACATCGTCAGGCGACGAAAGTAAGAACTGACGGACGAACAGAAAATCAGACAGACGAACCAGGACCTTCTCTCGTTATGAAGGGAAGAGAAACTAAGGGAAGATTTTTTAACAGGGTACTACGAGGGGGTGCTGAAAAGTTCGCGACTTTACCCAGACGCAAGAGAGCAAAAGCCGCGCCACGAGGGATGTAGGGAGGGGAGGTCATCGCTAGAGCGCACACGCCGTCCGGTACGACCGTTAGTTTGCTTCCTTCGGCAGTTTGAACTCATGATGGCGGCGTCAAGACCGGAATTCAGCAACGTCGACAAGCGCGTGGTCATGAAGTTCTTGTTCCTGCAAGGGAAACGAGCGCAGGAGATTCACTCTGAGATGCTGGCGACTCTAGAGGAGGACTGCCCTTCCCTCACAATGGTGAAGAAATGGGTGGCACGTTTCCGAACCGGCCATTTCGAGGTAACAGATGAGCCACGCTCTGGACGGCCCGTTTCGGCAGCGACAGATGAAAATACGGATGAAATCCATGACCTGATCCTCGAAGATCGTCGCATTTCCGTCAAGAAGATTGTCGAAATCTTGCAGATTTCCCGGGAAAGGGTTTCCCACGTCATCCATAACATCCTCGACATGCGAAAGCTGTCTGCGAAATGGATTCCGAAATTCCTCAATGCAGACCAGAAGCGGAATCGCGTGATCGCCTCCCAAGCCATTTTGGCGCGGTTCCACGCTGGTGCTGAAGACTTTGTGGCCAGGTTGGTGACCATGGATGAAACGTGGCTCCACCATTATGATCCCCAGACGAAGGAACGATCCAAAGAATGGCGCCATAGCGGGTCTCCCCGGCCGAAGAAGTTCCGCGTTCAGAAATCGGCCGGAAAAATCATGGCTTCCGTGTTCTGGGACAAGGATGGTGTCATCTTGATGAAGTACCTGCCGAAGGGCCAGGGGATCAACGCCACCTACTACATGTCCCTATTAGATGAATTGCGAGAAGCTCTGAAGGAAAAACGGCGGGGGAAGCTGAGTCGGGGGGTGCTCTTTCTGCAAGACAACGCGCCTGCCCACACCGCCCACCAAACCACGCAGAAAATCAAGGATTTGGGGTTCGAATTGTTGGACCACCCGGCCTATTCGCCGGACCTCGCCCCCTCGGATTATTATCTTTTCCCAGCGTTGAAGAAACATCTGAAGGGGACGAGATTTGCTTCCGATCAGGAGGTCATTGGTGCCGCAGAGATCTGGTTCGCGGACCAACCTAAGGAGTTCTTTTTGCGGGGGTTGCAAAAATTGGAGGAACGTTGTAACAAGTGTGTACAGTTGAGGGGTGACTATGTTGAATAAAATTGATTCAGTTTACCAAATTTGCGTTTTCTTCTAGGAAAAGTCGCGAACTTTTCAGCCTCCCCTCGTATTCAATAATTCAGACTTATTTCCAGGAAATATAATGTATTTTCACTGAAATAAAGCTGCATTATTGGATAGTACTTGGTTCAAAAATCCACCCCAAGACTGATTTCAAAACTGCTGTCTAGTCGCAGTTCAGTTCAGTTCCAGTTCGTCTTGACTTTGCTGTGAGAATAGTCGATAAGAGTATAGTGGAACTTCCGTCAGGCCAAAGTCTGAACTGACCCTAGAAACGAACAGCAACTGAAGTTCAGTTTTGAAATCAGTCAAAAATGGAGACGGGGGGGCACGGTCTTGTGAAGACATTCTAAATGTGCTCCTCAACCCCTTGTTTTCGTTTTGAGTAAAGACTTGTTCATTATCTTTTCACGCAGAATAAGAGGATTTGGCAGTTCTTGTTTCACACCAAACTATATAAAGTTTGAAGGACAGGTTATGGTCCCCGTGAGTTCCTCCTGACGACTTCCTGAGAAGTCTGCAAATGAGAGCAGTATTCTTGCTTGCTAGCTATTGAGAAACTTGGGACCTAGGAGATATCACGGAAGTCGTTGGATGCTAGACGAGGAAACATGGATATCCAGAAATGTATAATACTCAGTTTCCCTATATTTTACCATTTTTCACGTGCAGGCGCTGTGCATCACTTGTGCGTCATTTCGTGTGGCAGAATTGCCCAGATAATTGTGAGCGATCGATTGTCTATCGTATTTTGTGCATCAATTTTGAAATTTGTCATATTCATTCCGTGGAACCGATTGTAATGCCTTTTGCGAGAGAGTTCTCCAATGGTGAACTATATTCGATAGAAACGCAGGGATGATCTTTCAATGAAAGTCGCTTTCATCTTGACTTGTCTTATTTCTTTCCCCGCTTTCTGTCCCAAGTCAACACATTTCCATCATTATTCATTACCTGGCAATTTCTATCGAATATGGAAATTTTTAGACTCTAGAGTAAATCTGATAGAATTTGCACGTTTCGCTGGCTTTTACTGAACATGGGACACCTAGTATATGAAGGAGAACTTCAGGTGAACAGGTCCTTCAGCTTAAGAACTGTTTAACAAATATTGACAGGACGTGTCAAGCAGTGTACCTGTGATGGCGTAGTAAGTATAAGCACCATTATGTTTATAAGGTGCCAAGCCAGGAATTATATTTTTGAGGGGAGAGAGGTGGGACATGGTGCTATGTAGGCGTGGAGGCAATGAGAGGGAGGAAGCCGTAGAGATCTGTGGTGCCCCATACAAATACGGAGTACATAGATCCTGCCACTCCAGACGAACAGCTTCACGGATTTCATGCTTCTGATACCTAACAAAATATTCCACAATTCATTCAATAGACTATGAGGTTCGATCAGAAGGGAAGAATCATCCTTCCCAGAAGAGATCTGCAGAGGAAAAAAAAGCAAACAAAAACAAGAAAGATATGGGTCGGATATTCCCTTTCCAGGAGGCGGATCAAAGTGAGTGTGTTTAGAGGTCGAGCCTTATGCCCTGAGGGCGCAGCACAAGCAGGCCTTGCTGTCTGCCTTTGCATGGCTCCTGGTCCAAGTACGTGGGCCTTCTCCCCTTTCTCAGCCGAGTCTGTCTTTTTCTCTACCTCTTCTCGTCGGCCATATCATGAAAGGGTAGGTGCTGAGTAAACGACGACGATGAAAACCCCTGTCATCGATTGAATCTAACGCGATGTTGCCGCAATTCTTTCTTTGACTTTTGATTTCACTGCTTCACGGAAGAACCACGAATTGCGAAGGAAAAATTCTCATTTAAACCTACTTATGGAGAGCAGTAGCTTCTCACGAAACGTCGAAAAACTGGGAATAAGGGAGCGATGAGCAGCTGGACTTCTGAAGTCTCAATTCCCAGACTCAAATGAAGTGAAGGTTTCCTCGTAACGCCGAACCCTTCGCACTTGATCCTCAACACTTTAACACTAAAGGATGATGCACACTGCGAAGAGCTGCGCCGCACTGCGACCGTCTGCGAAGCCCGCAGTTTTTTCTTGACTGCTACCGCATACAAAGCATCTCCCACCCTGTGTACAGCTTGAGAGCTCGTGCTGCAACCCTTCGCTTTTTTTGCAGCCACCGGGGAGAAATGGTTCTCGACAGTGGCAGGTACGTCCTGTACACAGATCCCGTCCCCCGATTGGAGAATTCGCGACTCTGGTAGAAAAGATCATCAACGAAAACAAGGAGTGCTTCCCTCCTATGTCCATGAGAACGTCTCCTGAGCTGTTCAAGGCACTTCTTGGC